ATGCCTTAGCCCTAAGGCTTCGGATATACCTCGCGCGATTTCTCTAAAACGGCGGCGATATGCGATCTGGCCTGCCAGATGTCCGCAAACCTACCATGTGTGGAATTCAACTTCGTGCGCGTAGCTTTTGTAAGCTTAGGGAACGGCCATAGGTTTGCAGTGTTCGCGGTGTTCGTGGTGTTCGCGGTGTTGTGGTGTTCGCAGTGTTCGCGGTGTTCGCAGTGGAATAGTATGGCATAGTATAGTAATAGTATCATAGTATCATAATAGTATAGTATCGAATAGTATCACCTGGAATAGTATGGCCGATCCCGACAACACCGACAACACCGACACACCGCGAACACCGCGAACACCACGAACACTGCGAACCTATGGGCGTTCCCTTATGCGTACATGCTGAATCTTGCTTACCGAGTATGCACGTACGGAAGATTATGAACAATCGCAGCAGATAGAAATCGCGCGGCGAAAAGGTGTGGTCGATCCCTAATGAAGGTACTTTTCTCTGTATTGAGATGAACGGGAATCTCAAGTAGAATGATCAATGTAACAAGCGCGCAATATTTGTTTGTCAAATCAAAGTCCTCGAATGTTTTGCGTAAACCTTGACTTAGAACAAAAGAAAGGAGCAAAACTTTCTTTATCAAAAATCATCTTAGTGCCTTCAATAAAAACTGCTTGATGGTAATTGTTTTGTGAGTCAATTTGTTCTCCTATCAAAACATTAAACCAACTCTATTTGTAGAAGAAAATCATAGAAGAAGTCTTGCACATCCGTTTTAAGAAATCGCTGTTCAACATTGATGCGTGCCTTGGTAAGGTCGAATTTGTTATGCTACTACCTTCTAACAGGATGCGTAGAGCTTCTCACGGCAATTGTCGAAACATTGCAAAGTATGTATGCATTTCCACTACCGAATGTTGCTATCGTAAGGTGCTTACAAATAACTGATCAAATTAATTAAGTCAGGAGCTGCTCCTTTGCTCCCTGATCCATCGATATGCGTAGCTGTTCGTATCAAATCAACGTTGTAAGCATGCATTGCTATGCTTTACATCGTGTAGATTTTTGCTTTTCATGACCAACCACATCCCATACGTTCCTAGTCCTTGGAAAGTGCGAATAGCCGTTGGATAGCGCGATACACTCGTGAAGAACAGGCATCCATCCAGAATCTCTTAATTCGGACTTTATCCCCAGATCAATGGAACATTTTGGAAATGTTGCAATGCAAGTTCCAAACATTAGTCGAATATAAAAGCTTCGTAAAGTTGAACAAAATTAGATCCTCTTCAGTTTTTTACAGAAGCCAACATTGGCACCGAATTGAGCATTAGTAAAAGTTCTGAGTTTGGCAAACTTAACGAGAGAAACCAGACTCAGACTTCGAAACACTTGCTTGCACATTTCAAAGAATAGATTTCAGTGGTAGTAACTTCAAAGAGACAAACCTTGATGAATACATAAGGCGATTAATCGTTCTTTCACTTTATAAGAAGGCGGCGTGGCGTTATGGAGCAAAGCTACGCCGCATTCGCCTGCGGTATATCCTGAGGGTCCTTTGCGTTGTGTCGCCCTTAATTGCACCCGCAGAGGAGCTAGCGTTACCCAGCAGATTGAGTCATTCTCGAAATTCTTCTTCTGTAAAGAGACCAAAATGCGGAAGTCAAACGAATTTTGAGAATGAAAAAATAGATTCTGAGGAAGAAGTGTTTGAAAGTACCACCCAAGAGGAAGTAAAAGCTTGGAATGTCAGTAATGAAAGTTTTCTGTCCCTTTTCTTTACTAATTCTCATGTTACACTTAAAATCAATCTTTTATTCTCATCCGAGATTCAGCCTTTGCATCCGTAAAATCCATCTATTTTTCGATTTCAAATACCTTTATTGCATTCATGCAGTTTGGACATCTTCTCAAGGCGTAGCAATAGGGAATGGCTCAGTTCGCTTCAGTTCGTGAAGAGCGGCATACTCCTGCGGCTGCAATTAAAGGCGACGCAACGCAACTGGCCCTCAGGTTATACCGCAGGGGAATGCGGCGCTGCTTTGCTCCATAACGCCTGCCCCCCTTATAAGAAGAAGTAAACTTTGAATGTCTTCCTTTGCAATAGTAAGCTTCCGATATATTGAGGAAGCTCATACGGAGTTTTACTTCACCTTACATCTATGACATTGATTTGTAGAAGACAACCTCAAAAAACTTTTGACAGCATTCACATTACGTCGGCCAAAAACGTCAAGTCCACACTGTTTAGCGTGCTCCACCGCGAAAACCCGCGCGCCGGAGAAATTCGCATTGGGGCGTGAGGCGCGCTTTGCGCAGCCATGTGTAGATTTGAGTACCATAATTTCACGCGTACAAGGCGCACCTTTTTCAATTTTTCAATCCAATCCCTCAGCCGCTCCAAAATATAATATTTCGGAAAGCGATCCTCATGCCGTACGATTCTCTTAAGCAATATACAACACGGCATAGGGTCCTTTGATTGCAAAGTTCTTTGGCGTATTTGGGCTAGTCAATTTTGGAAAAAAATACCCCGCGCCTTGTACGCGTGAAATTAGGGTACCTGTCGCAATGAGAAGAAACAAGTGGTGGTTAGTTCATAAGAGAGCATTCTCACCAACCCTAGAACTCTCCTCTCCGCTCTCTTTCTCAGTTCAGAGGTTCAGAGGTACTTGAGTAACAAGCAAAAACACAGACAAACTCGACGAAGTCCTCAACTTGGCGCTCCTTTCATATGCGAACATCAGAGACAAATTTTCCTACGGTAGCGCGGCCGTTGTGCGGTAATTTCACGTCCACACAGCTAATTGCCGTTCCTATGATCGACGCCGTCGTTTTTTTTTTCATTTTTCGTTATGGCAAGCCGGAGATCTTCGTACTATGCTTCTGTCACGCTAAACTTGTACAATAGCCAGTTTTAAGCTTTCTGTAGATGATGCGTGCTTCCTCGTAATTTCAGTTTCATTCGCTGCAATGTCAGTTATTGATCATGAGGAATTCAATCGCTTTTCGCTTTTTTAGTTCTTCAGTAAACTTTCCACTGATTTTTTTTGGTCTTCGGCGTCAGCATCGGCAAACAGCCATGGTGGGTAAAATCCTCTGAAGTATATTGTTCACAGAAGAAAGTATTCCGCTCTTACAGTGTTCAAATCAACATTCCAATTTCACGTAGAATTTGCGTTACTTTCAATTACTTGAAACAAGTTCTATGCAGCAAACAAGTGCAAGTATCTTGGTTTAAACATATCGCGATCCTATATTGGAGTACCAGCGCACTCATTAAGAAAAAACTTAGATGTTTCGTTTATCTCTTTCTATATATATGAAGTTGATCACAATGTCAGAACGAAAGATGCTCGTAAGTTCAAGAAAACAAGTCATGTTTGCTGCTTTAGTATGGAAGGGGCTAGGTTCTTGCTTTGATCTTCTGTGTTCGTAGTGCATGAGTTTAGCTCTAGTTTCTTGCGGCATTATGGCTGAAGTGGCAGAAAGATAATACATGTTTATGAATCATGTGAGCTCTAAGGCGACTCGAAGTCCGAGTAGCGATTTCGGATCAGTAGGAAAAGTCATCAACAAAAAGAATAGGTGCTTTTTTGAATTGTCGCATGGCAAACAATCACGTTCAACCAATCACCCATGTGATTGTTTAAACGTTTTTTTCTGTAGTACTTTTTCACTTCAGTTTTTTTTTCGATTGTAGCATATGTAGCTCTAAAGATCAAACCCAAACCAGTGATGTTTTCATTCAGTATGAAAGAGGAAGCTGCGCATGACGCGCACTCACGGAATATTCTCTTTGAGAATTTGACCTCGTCAAAATCTGACCTCCTCTTTTATGGACACAGGAAAGCTACTTTCAAAAATTGGTGTTTCGACAAGGATAACTACCAATGCTCATCTGATGCGGTAGGCACTCTTCACCGCCTTGTAATGATCAAAATAACTCCTATTGAATGTTGCAGTTAGCCAAAGCTGGCTTTTACTTCACCGGCTCCAGGTACGAACCTGCGGCAGCAACTTGTGCATTCTGTTACAAAGAGATGATTTTCGAAGAGAATGATGATCCATGGTGAGAAAAATTGATTTTTCAAACTTTTGATAGATATCTCCTAGGTTAGAGCACCGATCTCACTCCAAAACGTGCAACTTTGTTGAGTTGAACAAAAGAGAAGAGAAAGACTGGACAGTGAACGACTTTATGTTTTTGTTATCTGGTCGCATTGCTGCTGAACAGGTTAGTGAAGCTTTGTATGCAACTCTTACTTGTTTCAAGTAATTTGGTCATTTACAGCGGTCGAAGATGAAGCAGTTCATCGAAAACTACGACGAAGCGTCTGCAGAGATCGAAGCAATGACCGCCAAGGCTTTACACTCACTTAAATAACTTCATAGTTGTCGTGAGAACCACAGTTAACGATTGTACCTTTTTTGCTCTTCACCGTAACCTGACTCGAACTAACGTGTGCATTTTTTTTCACTTATAACTTGCCTCAACTGTATAGATCTCCGTATTGTGTTTATATTCAAGTATAAATGAATTATGCTCCAAATTACCAGTTGAAAAACATTGTTGTGATCATATTATATATCTCTTCGGTATTTACTTGATTTTGCAATATCTATTATCAAGTTACAGCGGCGCATATCTTTCGATATCCCAAATGTCGCTGAAGTTATCTGAGTAAGTCTTTCCTGCTTATTGCATACTTGTTTATCTTGCCTTTCTACATTGCTTTTCATCCATCTTTTATGTCATTTAGTCTCTTACCTGCACCGTCTTCTATCACAGACGAGTACTCACAGGTAATTGATCGAGTTTATTTGCAATTATAGCCTCTTTAGCACATTTCGGTATTTTAGGTCCGAAGAGATCCATGGTTCCGCGGAAGAGAGGATGCATTACCCACAACAACAGCTATTGTAGTAAAGGAGCCGCCACCATATGGGAAACGTCAAGGGTTCAAACCACGTACACCTGAGGTTTGCCCCACTGTCCTTGCCTTTACTTCAATTTTATTATCTTTTCGTTGTATCATGTCTTGGCACAGTAATATTTCCCTCATAGTGTTTCGCTCTTAGGACTACGGCGATGGTGGAGCATTTCCGGAGATTCACTTTGCCCAGTTTCCGCTTGGAATGGGCATGGGAGAACGAAAAGGAAAAAATGATGGTCAAATTGCTTTGCAGTATGATGCAGATGGTAAATTGAGGCATGATGCCATTGCTAGGATAGGCCACACAAAAGATAAGGCGAGTGATTAAAACCTTACTTTAATTTCATCAGATCGGTTTATCTTGTTAGCTTTGGTAACCATCCCTTCGAGTTGATCAAATTTGTTTTTTATTTAGATTGTTTATACAAAGCTGAGCGATATGCGCGCGAAAGTGTGGGACGAGGATGACGAGGATATCCAACGACCTGATGAGGAAACAATTGCTGAGCAGACGGAGAAGACGAGATTGGCCCTGGAGAAAATTACAGAGAGCAAGGTCGGTAAAATGTCGCGATATAGAACACAATATCATGTGCCTTGGTTTCCTCAAAAACCTTAAGGGTAGTTTGTCTCAGGTTGCATCAGCTTTACCTGTTCGACACGCTGAGAAGCAAGCGCCTCCGCAGTATATCAGATATACACCTAGCCAACAAAGTTCCTTACATGCAGGAGGTGCAGCTGAATGTTTTGCGATAGATTTTCCATCGAATATGAGACTTTTTTAGGTTCACAGCAGCGCATCATCCGGATGGTTGAGGAGCAGAAAGATCCTATGGAACCACCGAAGTTTAGGTGAGTTTTCATTTTCGTCTGCGCTGTACGATCTTACGCAGAATCATGATGCTTGTAGAGTGGGTTCCACATTATATCTGCTTTTCTAGAATCAATCAGAAAATCCCAAGAGCGCCCCCTTCACCCCCAGCACCAGTTATGCACAGTCCTCCACGGAAGGTATGGTCGTTTTTTCTTCGCCGCTTGTTTATCTTCTGCCGAGAGCTTTATATCTGTCAGATTGTGTGTCAATTGATGAATTGATTATAGTCTTTCCCATGTTCATTAGTTTCGAAAAAAAGTGCTGGTATACTTTTCTGGCGTCGCTGTATGGTCCTGTTCCTCCCCTTTTGTTTTCGTCCGCCACTCCCTCTTCTTTGTTGTCTTAGCCAATTCGAATCCATTACAATCTACTTCGCGGTTTAAGAAGCTCATCAGTATCTACGTGGAGTATTTAGCCTACTTACGGCCGAAACGACTAGGGTCTTTCGACGTAACCACCTTACTACATATTTAGGCTGCTAAAGGCCATTAAAAGAATTAGAAGACGGAAAATTTTGCTTGGCTTTATACATGACTTGTGTGTAGGCCTCATAACATCTCTTGTCTAAACTTATTCCTAGTACGTACTTCAAGATAACTTTCAGGTTACTACAAAAGATCAAAACGATTGGAAAATACCACCTTGCATTTCCAACTGGAAAAATCCGAAAGGTTAGCTTTTTGATCTTTGCTTGCTAATCATCTAAAAGCTGAGAAATATGCTTCTACCCTCTTTCAAATATGTACTCTTTGCTTATAGAGTGAAAGTGCATTATTTTTCTTATTGGATTGTAAGTCTGTGTACCAAATGTGTGATTTCAAGGTTTTACGGTGTCTTTGGACAAGAGATTGGCAGCTGATGGTCGAGGATTGCAACAGGTTTGATAAAAATTTTATACAGTCGTCTCTTTTACCATCAACATTTTTAGACCCACATTAATGAAGGTTTCGCGAAATTATCTGAAGCCTTGTACATTGCTGACAGGAAGGCTAGAGAGTCCGTGGAAGCCAGAGCACAGCTGGAGAAAAGAGTGGCGCAACATAAGAAACTTGAACAAGAAGCTCGAATGCGCGAAATGGCGGCGAAGGCTCGACAGGTCTGCATTTTTGCTGTTTCTATTGTGCTTACGTCATTAGATGCTTTTTCGTCAGTGGTTCATGGGGTCAGCACTTTTCTTTGTTTAGGAGCGTGCTGGTATAAGAAAGAAGGGTGAAGACGAAGATGAAGCTGTGAAAGCGAGAGAAGAGATCAGGTTTGTCAAACTTTCGCAGTGACTACCATCGCTTAGATTAGATACGTGTAGAATTAGAGAATCCTTCAAAAAACAGTTACTACATGCTGTATATCTAACTGACTTTGGTCGATCTCTTATTGTGCACGTCCAATTTTCAACCATTTTTTCATACTTTTGCTTTGCAGACGAGATCGATTGGATGACATTCGTAAAGAAAGGAATATTGCTCGCAATCGTCCCGATAAAGTGGATAAACTCATGCGGTTTGTTATCTACCTAAATTTTTAGTGATTTCTCGGCAGTAGTTTTACCCACCTTCGACGAACAATGCTTGCATGGAAACTTTTTGTAATGGTAAATTATCCTGCTAACATGACTATGGAGTAATGCTTATTTCAGGCTGTGTTGGCTCTCGTATCGGGTGTCTCTACGTTACCGAAACCGAAATACCCAGGAGGGGGAGCATATGTCCCCCTTTAACAACCTCGCTAGAAATCGATCGCCTCAATGAGCTCAATCATTGATAATAAATTTCTTGTTAATGGCTTCGAATGGTTTCAAGTAATACACAAGTGAGACCAATCACATAATAGGAGTTGTGACACTGAGAATGTGCTAGAATTGCCAGAAAAGCTTGGACCATCCATTTTACTCTCACTGTCTCAATGCATTTTCAAATTGAGAAACAAAACTCAGCAATTAGGCACGAAACTGACCAGCCCAAATTTTGAAAATACCGAATTTTATATTGAAACGATGTGACGCAATAGCGCTAAATCTCGAGTATGAACTGGAAGATCACTTCCATTAACATCTCATACTGCACTGGCTACACCGATTTATGTTGGTTTAGATGAATAGACAGTTTGCTACGTCATCCTGGTGGTTGGAGAAGAATAGTCGCCGTGGTCAAGATTACGTGTTCTATGAATTCTACTGAAGGTGCTTTCACTAGAAGGTTCAGTCCAAACTTCTCGGTAAAACGACTCCAGCGAGGAATTGGAGGCACTGATGTTTTAATGACATAAAATGGTCCATTAACCATTCAGTGGGCAAATTTATGCCATTTTTGGGTTGGCACCGCTCTTTTTCTCTGAACATATAAATGAATGAGAGGCAGTCCTAGCATACATTGCCATCACCTTCCTATTTCCTACAGCTAAATCAACCAATGATGACATCTACATTCGAGTAAATTTTTTGCTTAATATGGTGTGCTTGCACAGAAGGTAAAATGGGGTAAATTTTGCGCGTCAACAGATAGCTTCGCTGTGTCGCTGGCCAAGTGCGCGCCAAATGCCAGCAATACTGGCGTGGCTATTTATTCATGAGCATCACCGCATTTCACTTTCTCTGCAAGAACACTGTATTAAGCGGAAAATCTACTCGACCGTACATCAAAACAAGGGTTCCCGAAACATAATAGGAAAGAAAAGATCGCTTTTCATTTCCTCGACATGACATCGCAACATGACGTCCCAGAAACGCGTAAGGATTACCATTCGATAGAGCACGGCAAGCTTAAAATGTGGCATTACTGCTCTTGCAACAAATTATATATACATCAAATCCGGAGATGGAATCTAAAAAGTCTCAAATGAAAAGAAATCAAAAAAAAACTCGTATCTCTTTACGGACCCCCACTTGCTCACTAACATTCATCTCTCATCCAACATTCATATGCGCAGTTGTTGTAATTTTCCTCAGCTAGACATCGCAAAATTAATTTTAATGCTTTCGTCAAAGTGATGTTGGGCTGTTCCCGCGTAGGTAACTCCATACTAATTAGCTTGGAAGAACGACCGTAAATTTTCAGCCTTCTACAAGAGTTAGTTATTGGAAAATATCAAATCTAGGTTTTTCTTCTTCCGTTCTTCAGATTGAATCTGATATTTCTTGAGAGTCAGCTGTTGTACAAAAATGAAAATACACGGTTGTACCTTACTAGCTGATTAGTATAGATTTACCTGCGCAAGAGCAGCCCAGCATCACTTTGGCAAAAGCATGAAAGTTTCCATGTTCTCGATGTTTAGCTCAAGAAATTGATCTGGCAGTGGTGATTAGCTCAAGAAATTGATCTGTACGCAAAAAAAACAAGAGTCGAGGCCGGTTAAAGATAGTAGGATGGAACCAAAACCGTGTTAAAATTTTTCAAAAATCGTCATTTCCCAAGTTCGGCGAACCCGTTTGATATGTTGAAAGTTGTAGAGAAAAATCAAGCGCTTTCTACTAGCGCTTTGAGCGAAAATTCTTGTTATAGCGCGGCAATCGCAGGTAATAAAGACAAAGTCAGATTGTGCATTTACAAATCTCGGTCACCAATGCTAGAGTACCAACAAGTTCAAATTCTCCTCTATTTCATGACCAACTATTGTCAAAAAGAGAAATGAATGGGATCGGAGATCTCTACAGGGATTTGCTTTTCAAATTACTTTCGAATTTGACTTCGTTTCTTGAACCTTAAGATGAGTTATAACCAGAATCGAGCAAGAGATGTGGCAAACGACGTCGCGAATCTCCCCACCCCTTCCCCCACTTGAGCAATATGCTCGCAACTAGCATGTCAAACAACCCTTTTGATCAAGTTTTAACGAATCCGTTTTTTGGCTTTCAACTCAGACAGTCGATGGCATACCTCCGGAGCAGAAATGGCAGAGCAGCGGGGTTTGCCCAGCGGGGGTTTGCCACTCGTGCTGCGGAGATCTCCCATTTGTGCTCCGGAGCCCTCCCATTTTGTGCCCCGGAGGTGCCCCAAATCTGGCGTACCTCCGGAGCGCATATCTATGCTCTGGGGCTCTCCCAAATCTGGCGTACCTCCGGAGCAGGAATTTGCAAGCCCGCCGGAGGGGTCCCATCTGCCTTCTTGTGACGTCACCGTGACCTCACAGGAAAGGACCGCCCCCTCGCCCCGCTCTCAATGGTCAATTGGGTCCTCCGCGTTTCTCTGCCAGATTTCGACTGTCCTCCGGAGCTATGGCAACGATTGTCTGAGAATGGTCGCGCTTCCAGTAATTGTTAGACAAAGGAGAAGAATTCAGCTCTAATTATTTCCGCAAATACTACGAGATCTGAACTATTGAACTGTAAAACGTCTACCAAATATATTTCTGGAAGTAAGTAATGGGGAGCAGAATCCCTCAAAAGGTGTGGCTGCCACATTTTTTGAGGAGTCGAGCCACACCCCATTATCTTACCTTTGAAGGATTCAAAGGCAGTGGCTCGGAAAAATCGCGACGGGACTTTTCACAACTACATGGCCTTCTGGACCAAGCTAAGCCAGGTATTCTGCTTGAAGTGTCAAAAAAGTGTTTTTTGTTTTGTTTATCGGACTTGCAGTTTGCTGGAGAAGCGGGGCGAGGGATTTCCGCAATAACCAGCAAATGACTGCAGGATACCATAACTTCACCTATTTTGGCGGCAATTGGCTGATCAGCCCAGGCAATCATTACGGTACAGTTGACGGGAATCCCTCGCCCCGCCTCTCCAGCAATCTCTAAGGTCGGAAAACGCCAAAAAAGCACTTTTGACTTTTCAAGCACAGTACCTGACTCAGCTAGTCCAAAAGGCCATGTAGTTGTAAAAATCCCCCACTCGCGATGTTCGCGAGCCAATGCCTTTAAACATCTCCGTGTTTCGTATCGTTCCTCCTACAGCTAGACCTTCTTCCCTTCGCAGAAATTTCCCCAAAACCGTTCCTCTAAAATAAGATGTAGCGGCTTCTCCAATCCTATGCTGAAAGAAGATAGTGGGTTACGGTACGTGCTGAATCTGCTCTATTACGTATGTTGCAAGGTAAGGCGACAAAAAATATACATGTATTCGAAAGCTCAGATCTCTTAGACACATGAGTGATTTGAGCTCAATTTTTCTTCTTACAATTTGTATTGGTTGCTGATGGCACAACCGTTGACAGCGAAATGAGACCAACGAGATTTTGGCTAGCTCCTAATTTCAAAGTTTGGAAGTCGTCTGAGGTAGGATTTCTTAAGTCGGCAAAGGAGAAATAGTGCTTTGTATCGAGTTGAAAGAGACAGTCAGCTCACTCGCTTTCACAATTTTTGTGACAACCACGCGGAAGGCCTAAAAGTGGCAGAATTAAGGGAGACATTTGGTGGTCTGGAGACTGATGCAGCTTACAAGAAAAGGATACATTAAGTTAGCGATCGACTTAAGCTGGATCCTTCCGTTATCAGAGAACACGCGTCAAGGATGAGTTGTCAAAAAACACAGCCCCCAACTTACATAATTGCTGCATTCGATGCGCTTCAGCAGAGGCACCTGTATTAGTTCTAATTATTTAACGCGCAGGTTTCAAATCCTTTGAATCGGAGCGAATAGGGCAACGCGAAGACGCACAAGACATGACGGTGTCTATAGGAAGAATTGCGGTCACAGGCTATATATACTGCTTCAAACAGAGCGTTACAGCTCTAGCGACGCGGGCCCTCAGGAAGCCCGGCTCAGCGCAGCGGCACGTTCGCAAGTGTCTCAAGACATTTTTTCGCGCCTCAGCACTTCTCATCCTGCTGCTGAGGCTTAGAAAAATGCCCAGAAAATAATTTGCGAACTCAGAGCAAATCCGGGCAAGCCACGACGGCCCTAAAAAGGTTGCCACAACCTTGCCAAATGAACCAACCAACCACCACACGAACAACACACGTTTATTGCCGATCACCTCAAACTTGGGTAATTAAACCCTCATTCTGCTTGAAATATACACACACATAAACAACGAAGCATCAACATGAAAAAGTGACGAAATCACTAACAAATGGTTGGAACTATGATAGGACTGTTGAATGTGCCATCCTACAAGGAATGAGCGGATAGTAAGGCAATACAAGCAATGAGTGTAAGTGATGGAAAATGCATGAGTAATAATGACTAAGTATATATAGACGTTCGCTTGCTGGCTCCATCGTTCCTTCTGCAGCTGCAATCGTTTTTGTCGGTGGACCGAGATCTTTTTGTCGAAGGGAATGTCGCATCTGGCATCGTGGACTCATTCCTTGGCGTTTCGCAACTAGCCTTTCAATTAGCAAGCATTGCGATCCGTGAACGTCTCAACTGGTACTGAGGGGTCATCGTATGCAACTCTCATGCACTATCTTGCTCAATTGCATCGCGATCCGCGTTACTCCCGGCTACGCAAGTTCGTAACTACTTGGAACTTGTCATCGGGAAAATCATCTAGCGCTTATTCCTTGAACTGTTTTCTGGTGGGGGTACGAACTGTGCTGAAGCGTTCTTTGTAAGCATCT